TCCGGCGGCGCTTGGCAGGGGGCGGGGGCGGGCTCCAGCGGCGGGGGACGTCGCGGGGCTCGGCGCTCGGCAGAGGGGTGGCATGGGGGGACGGCACTCTGGGGGGGTTTCTGGCGGCGCTCGGCTGGGGGTGGGCGCGGCCCGGCGCTCAGCGGGGAGCCTGGGGGGCGGCGCTTTCTTTTGCTGTTTGGGGCAGCAAAAAAGCTAGAGCCGGCCCTGACTACAGCACAGTCCCGGGGGGGCGGCGGGGGGGAGAGGCTGTGATAATTTTATCTCAAGGCAGAAGGAAGTTTGGGCTGAGAAGGAGGTGCGGGGAAGGAGAAACAGGACAACTTGAGGGGCAGAAAGACTGATTATTTAGGATTTCCAGGTTTGGGAACTCATGGCAGAGGGTGGGTGTAAGTTCTTCCTAGGCTACCATCCAGGTAGAGAGTGCAGCAACAGCTGCTACTAAGAGGAGGTAGACTGAACTAACCAGAGCCCAGGAGGGCTGGAATTTGAGCCTGGGAATAGAAAGCCAAAACCTATTATGTGACCAGCACAGGTCCAAGATGGAAGACTGATGTTTTTCTTTAGACTTTGATTACCTCAGAAGGGTTGGACTTAGCCAGAAGGCCAAGCCACCTCAGAAATTGAGTCACTGAAAACCCAGGATGGAAACTGAGGCAGGTTGACTGCAGTGCCACACCACACGGGGGTCTGCTCTGGAACTACACCCTGCTATCTTAACCCCATTTTATACCCTGGGGCAGGCCTGCACAACTCGTAAAGCGGCGAGGGCCATATTACTGCAAAGAAAACAGCTAACCCCCCCAGCACTGCCGAACCTCACTCCCAGCACCATCGAGCCTCCCTGAAACACAACAACACCACCCCCAACGCCGCCTGCCCCATGGAAACAAGCCCCCCGCCCCCCAGCACCACCTGCCCTGCGGAAACAAACCCTCCTTCCCCAATGCTGCCCCACCGAAACAGCGGTATTGAACCTTGGTAATATGTTATAGCGGGCCCCTAAGGTAGTATAATTAAGGTAAAAGAAAAATGTCTTTTTGCTAGAAGTAGACTAAGATCTCCCCCCTCCCCCCGCTTCGTAATCAATTGCCCTGTTGAATGAATGAGGTGTGAATGAGGAAGAGGTGGAAGGCAGGCACTTCCAGACAGCTGCAACCGTTGGAGAGGGGATGGGAGCCAGACCAGATCAGTAGAACAGGTCAGCCACCAACTCGCCGCTCGCCTCCTCAGCCCCCCACTCCCGCTGCCGGCTCACCTGCCCCTCCGCCACTGTCCACCCACTCGCCTCCTCAGCCACCGGTTCACCTGACCCCCGCCATTGCCTGCCCACTCGCCTCCCCCGCCACTGGCTCACCTGCCCCCCTGCCACTGCCTGCCCACTAGCCTCCTCAGCCCCCCCTTCCCCCACTGCTGGCTCATCTGCCCCTCCCCCCCGCCACTGCCCGCCCACCCGCTCGCCTCCTCAGCCGCCGGCTCACCTGCCCCCTCCACTGCCTGCCCGCTCACCTCCTCAGTCCCCCCCGCTCGCCTACTCACCCCCCACCACAGCCCGCCTGCTCGCCTCCTCAGCCGCCTCCTCCCCCGCCTCTGGCTCACCTGCCCCCCTGCTACAGCCCGCCTGCTCGCCTCCTCAGCCCCACTTGCCTACTCACCCCCCGTGGGCCGCACAGTGAGCCCACGCAGGCCGCATGCAGGCCGCATGCGGCCCCCGGGCTGAATGTTGTGCAGGCCTGCCCTGGGGGATTCATGAACCACCATAACTGTTATCCTACTCTCTATAATTGCAGATGCTGCTGTTTTACGTAAAATGTGAAATCTCCCTTTTAATCCCTATAGAATGGATACATGGAGATCCTTGCATTGAAACAAATATACTTTTCAATGGAATGATTAATATCTTCACATATACAAAAAGCTCAGCATCTCACATTCACATAACAGCACTCTGTTCAACAGTCATGAGTGATGGTGTGAGAACTATCATATTTTTAATATCCTGACTGAACATTGCACAGTGGAGGAGGGTTGTGTGTACGTATGTGTGGGGGTGTGTGAATTGGATATCAATGCTGAATATTCCAGTAAGCTGCGTATCCATGGAGATGTAGCCTCAGGGCCATCCCTAGCTATTTTGGTGCCCTATGCAGCCCCCCCCAGGCCTCCAGGGTTGGGGGGGCTGGCCACTTCCTGAGGGAAGTGGAGTGACCCAGACTCAGCCTCCTCTGCTCCCCTGGTTTGGGGGAAAGAGGGCACTGCCCCCCAGCACTCCCCGGTGGCATGGCTGGGAGCCAGGGGAGTGGAACAGGCTGGGGCCGGGTCGCTCTACTTACCGGTGAGTGCAGGCCCAACTGCTTCTAGAGTCCTCAGGGGGGTGGGGAAGAGGCGGAGCAGGGGTGGGGGCCCTGGGGAAGAGCAGGAGCAGGGACTGGATCAGCACGCAGCTGGACAGGGCATCAGGAAATTTGGGGCACCAAATTTCCTGGTGCCCTACACACCTGCATACTTGCGAATGGGTAAGGATGGCCCTGTGTAGCCTGTCCAAATTGCTTTACTGATTCCTTTTGCTTAGCTTTGTAGAAGAAATTTTACAGGTTAATAAACAGACTTTATTTAGACTGAATGTGACAATCCTTTCTCACTTTTAAAATAACAGGTGCAGGACACACATTTGATGCAGCCTTTGAGAAGGTTGCTTTACAGGTTTGCTCTTGGGATATGCCCATTATCACCAGAAGGTGTCATACTGCTACCATATCAAAAGTGGAGTGATACCAAAATTCAAAGAAGGCTAATGCAGCTGTGTTTTGTAAGTGGTTTCCTCCCCTTTACTGATCAAGCTGTGCCTCAGGGAAGGGTGTTACTGGCAGTGGTACTGGGAATTCTACCCCCTCCCCCCGTTTTTTTGTTTGTTTGTTTGTTTGGAATATAGTCTTTCTTCCCAGGACCTGTTGTACTGATACAGCTACTGACTCATCTGTTAAGGGAACAGGGCAAAAGCTTCTGTAAGCTAGGCTTTGCCATTAGTAACCCTTCTCTACAGCTGAGGGTGCCCTAAGAAAGGAGTGACAATTCCTTTGCTGCTGTTTTAGAGTCTCAGGTTTTGTCACAGCCTCTTCTAGTTTTGTTCTGCTGCTTATTGGTCTTCTAACAGCTTCATCATGCATGCATGGTATCCCCATCATGTAACTGCTGTGAGACCTGTCTTAAAAGACCATCCCAAATTATCCCCAGCTATACTGAATGCATCTTCCTTCCCCTTGCATCCCAAAGAGTGCGCCATCCAGCTGGTGCTGGAGCCTTCCATCTCAGAGTATGCAATGTAAGCCTGATTGCCTGCTGCTGGAGAGGCATGTCCTTGGCTTTCTCAGTGAGGAAGAAATACAGCTCTTTTGTTATTGCCGCTCTCGAACATGTTGCCTACATCTGCACACAGGCACTGAAGTGACAACTGGGCCTTGTCCACCCTAGGGTCACTTTAAAAAAAATCCCCTGAGTTCAGCTACACTGCTGTGAACAATGTTGGGATGCCTATATGGATGGGCTGCTGCAGTTTCTGAACATATTGATTAGAGCTGGTCTGAACTGGGTTACTGGACACAGTGGTAAAAATACTCCAGGTGTGTCTGTTACCTACCCTCTAGGGGATCTGTAGCAGCAGAGAATACGGTACCTCAATTTCCCATTGTAGAAGAAACCAAAGGAGAATTCTGAGTCATAATGCTTCCCATGGAAGATTAGAGCTTTCAGTTCTGTGAGCAATACTTTATTGGCATTACAAGTGTTGCCAGAAAAAGAAAAGAAACAAACAATTTTAAGGACAGAACTCTCATGAGGTTTGTCAGTACTACATTACAGCAGGCACGGGGGCCTTCAGCGTGGGTTTGTGTCTTTATTTTTATTCCTGTCTCTACGAGTCATGCCTGCCTCACTCACCAGTGCTAAGGTTCTCCCTGCCCTCTGACTCACCCTTTTGCTCTCTATCAGGAGGGTATTTCATGTCAGTGCTTTTTGCATCAAAGCTGATTTCTGACTGTTCCCCCATCCAACTAATTAACCCATAATCCTTGTGTCCCTCCTCACCACAACCCATACCCTGGCAATGTGTCCCTCCTTTCAGGAGGAAGGTACGTGTACCCCTTCATAATACTACCTCCTCCTCTGCTATCTTGTGTGTCTGGCAATGCCTCTGTGGCTAATGCCCCCTACCCTTTGCACATTTCCTAGTCAAGAGGCTGGTGCTTGGTCCCTGCTCCCCCTCCTGGGCTGGCTGGTACCCTGTGTGCACCCACCCCCCGGCTGGCACGCTGTGTGGTGCCCCCCTCTCCCTGCCTGGTAGGTATCCTGTATGTCCCTCCCACCCCTGCCTGCCTAGCTCATATGTGTTTCCCCCCTTGGCTAGTGGGTACCCTGTGCACCTCACCCCTGCCTGCTCCCACTTGGCTGGCTGGTACAACCCTTCTCAGCTAGCTGGTATTCTGTGCATCTCCCCCTCCCCCCTCAGTCCACTCCCATGGTTGGCTGGTACCCTGTGTATCTCCCCTGCTCTGGCTGACTGGTACCCTGTGTGCCCCCTGCCCCCCGGGCTGGCTCGTACCCTGTGCATCTTCCCCACACAGACATACACTCTTATCATGGCTGGCTTGTACCCTGTACCCGCCCCCTCCCACACTCCCTATGGCTGCCTGGTACCCTGTGCATCTCCCCCCCCCCCTCCCCAACTCCCCATGACTGGCTGGCACCCTGTGCATCACGCCCCCACACACACTCTCCATGGCTCGCCCCGGATGGCTGGCACCCTGTACATTCCCCCTTCCCGTGGCTGGCTGGTACCCTATGCAGCGCTCCTCCCCTTCCCCTACAGCTGGCGCAGCACGTGCTCCTGCCCCTCCCCGGGCCGCGTGTCTCCGCCAGGACCGGCGGTGGCAGGAAGGCGGGACTGGGGCGTCACATGAGCGGCCGCCTCTCCTGGCGGCTGGGGGAACAGACCGCGCCGGACCCTGTGCGGGAGGCGGCCCGGGGCTACATCAGCCCCTTCCCCCTGGGACACCCCCCTCCCCGACTCACCTGCGGCGGGCACATCCAGGTAACCCTAACTCCCCCGCCCCCCATAGCGCAGCGGGCAGGCTCACCTGGGCCCGTCCCGCCCCTAGCTCTGCGCGGGGCAGCCTGGTAACCTGCCCGGCTCTGCCCCTCCCCCCGCCTGTGTCCTGTGGGAAGCCCAGAGATGGGGCCTCACCTGGGCCCTACCTGTGTCCCCGGGGGAAACCCAGGTGGACCCTCACCCGAGCCGAGCCCTGCCCCTCCTCCTGGCTGGGCCCTGGGTGAAACCCAGGTGGGCCCACATCTGGGCTCTGCCCCTCCCCCCTGGCTGGGCCCTGGATGAAACCCAGGTGGGCCCACACCTGGGCTCTGCCCCTCCCCCCTGCCTGTGTCCTGGGTGAAACCCAGGTGTGCTCTCACCTGGGGTAGGCCTTCTTCTCTGCCTGTGTCCTGGGTGAAACTCAGGTGGGCCCACACCTGGGCTCTGCCCCTCCCCCCAGCTGGGCCCTGGGGAAAACCCAGGTGGGCCCACAGTTGCACCCTCCCCCCAACTCTGTGACCTGGCCTAGATGAAGCCCAGAGGGGCCCTCACCTTCCACCCAAATGTGCCCCAGAGGAAGCCCAGGTTAACCTCCCCTCCTCCTACTATGCCCCAGAGTGCTCTAATTGTAGTGACTAAGTAATACCTCACCTGAGGCTTCCTCTCCTCCAGTCTGCTACAGATTAGCCAGGTAACTCCTTACTTTGGGGTTCTCTCTGGTGATTCTCCACCAGGACTGTCATTACTACCTCATCTGGGGGACAGCTCTTCCACATACACACACACACACCTCTCAGCCTTGGATGCTGAATGGGGGTAGTCATGTATCTAAGGTGACCAGACAGCATATGTGAAAAATTGGGATGGGTGGGGGTAATAGGAGCCTATATAAGAAAAAGACCCAAAAATCAGAACTGTTCCTATAAAATCAGGACATCTGGTCACCCTATATGTACCTCTCATCTAGGGCCTTCACCCCCTTGAATTCTGCAATAGAGCAGCTGGGTAAACCCTCACTTGAAGGCCTTCTTCCCTGTACCCTTGACCCGTGCACCAGGATGGCCACATAACTCCTCACATGTTTTATCCCTGCCCCTGAACTCTTCACCAGGGCAGCCAAGTATATCCTTATCCATGTATTTCATTTCACCTATCACCTGCCCCTTTTCTTGACCCAGCACTGGAGTGGCCAGGTGATTCTTCACCTGAGGGCCTTCTCCCCCAACCTGACTTCACCTAGGGACTACTCTTGCACTGGAATTGCCACGTAACCTCTTAGCTGGGGGCTTCCTTCTCCCAGCAACTTGTTCAATTATGTATGATCAGTGAACCCCATACCTTGGGACTTTCTTTCTTTTGACCTGTGCATTGGGATAGCCAGGTTGCCCCTCAGCTGGGGACACCCTCCCCCCTGCTTTTTCTCCAGCTTATGTACCAGGGCAACTAGGTAACCTCTTATTTAGGGCTTCCTTCTATCTCTCTACCCAGTCCTGTTCCTGAGTCGGTGCATCAGTGACTCATTTGAAACCAGGTTCACTTAGGCCTGTAATTAATTGGGTGATTTTTGAACCTTTCAGTCACTGTTCAGTGCTGTAAGGCTGATATTCAGATCATAGGTACAACTGTCTTCAACATTTGTTATTAGAGATTGTAAGCTCCTTGGGGTATAGGAACCATCTTTTTGTTGTGTTTGTATGGCACCTGGCACAATGGGGTCTGGGTCCATGGCGCAGGCCCCAGGCTCTGCCACAGTGTAGATAAATAGTGATGGACTGTTACCTGTGAATAAATGATTCAAGGCAACTTGATCAAGTTCTTTATGCTGATAGGCGAAAGTTACTTTTCTGATGTGAACAACCATCTTCAGTCATTTGTAAGTCTGGTATTGCCAGATGTCTAAATATGAAGAAGGTAGGAGAGAGAGGAGTTTGTGTAGGAGCAGAGTTTCATTCTACCAAGTAAATTGCTAATATTTATTTGCATTTTTGTTTAGGAAAACTGAATGAAATACAACCAAATGGACTCCTCGAAGCTCTTGCTTTGATCTGCTGAGTTTGAGGGAAATCATACTGAGGATCTGGTATCTGCATCTGTAACCTCTAACTTCTCAGTGCTATGGAACAAAGTGAGGGCGAGCAGGTGCCCCAGCCAGAGAGTCATGAGGACAGCAAGAGCAATGTGAAATCCTTGCCTGGGGGAGCTGTCCATGTCTGGGAAGAAATAAAAAAACATGCAGTTACAGATGACTATAAGCTCTCCAAACGGGTGCTAGGCTTGGGTGTTAATGGCAAAGTACTGGAGTGTTTTAACAAGGTGACAGAGCAGAAATGCGCTTTAAAGGTATGTAGACTTTTTCTTGTATACATTTTTTGAGGCCAAAGCTCATCTCTCAAAATCCCATAGAAGGCCATGTTTTCTGTTGATGCCTAAGTAAAGCAGAGATGGATGCATTAGAGATACTTGGATATGCAGAGAGACAGTCTAGTGTAACAGTATGTTGGTCCAAACTCAAGAGGTCTTTTTCAGACCGTTCCTGAGTGAGTTTCTGTAACAATTATCATTTATATAACTGACTGTGCTTTTCTACCTGGACTGAAAAACCTGCAGCCCACCCCCCTGAGTGGTTTAGTCTGGGTTTTTAATACGGATACTGTGCAATCAACAGTCAGGAATCTGTTGCAAATGGTTCTCAAACTTTTGTACTGGTGACCCCTTTCACATAGTAAGTGTCTGAGTGCGACCCCCCCCTTTATGAATTAAAAACACTTTTTTGTATATTTAACACCATTATAAATGCTGGAGGCAAAGCAGGGTTTAGGGTGGAGGCTGGCAGCTCATGATCCCCCCATGTAATAACCTGATGCCTTTACGTGTATTGTATCAGGGGGTAGCTGTGGTAGTCTGTATCCACAAAAACAACAAGGAGTCTGGTGGCACCTTAAAGACTAACAGATTTATTTGGCCATAAGCTTTTGTGGGTAAAAAAAACCTCACTTCTTCAGATGGATGGAGTGAAAGTTACAGATGCAGGCATTATATAATGACACATGAAGAGAAGGGAGTACCTCACAAGTGGAGAACCCAGTGTTGACAGGGCCAATTCAATCAGGGTGGATGTAGTCCACTCCCAATAATAGATGAGGAGGTGTCAATTCCAGGAGAGGCAAAACTGCTTCTCTAATGAGCGAGCCACTCCCAGTCCCTATTCAAGCCCAGATTAATGGTGTTAAATTTGCAAATGAATTTTAGTTCTGCTGTTTCTCTTAGAAGTCTGTTTCTGAAGTTTTTTTGTTCAAGAATAGTGACTTTTAAATCTGTTATAGAATGTCCAGGGAGACTGAAGTGTTCACCTACTGGCTTTTGTATGTTACCATTTCTGATGTCCGATTTGTGTCCATTTATTCTTTTACGTAGGAACTGTCCGGTTTGGCCAACGTACATGGCAGAGGGGCATTGCTGGCACATATAACATTAGTAGATGTGCAGGTGAATGAGCCCTTGATGGTGTGGCTGATGTGGTTGGTCCTCTGATGGTGTCGCCAGAGTAGATATGGGGACAGAGTAGGCAACGAGGTTTGCTACAGGGATTGGTTCCTGGGTTGGTTTATCTTGGTGTGGTGTGTAGTTGCTGGTGAGTATTGCCAGTCTTCTGGTTTTCCATCTTTAAAAGAAGTACTAACGGGCAATATGGATCCTGGGGTCCAAGACTTACAGTTCTGATGGAAAGGAGTCCCTGACAAATATTTGCCTGTTTGTTTGTTTTTCTTATAAAATATTTCTTAGGACTTTAAAGATTTTTTCTAGTTGAATAAAAACTGCAGGGTGAGTGAATAATTCCATTTTCTTATCTACTTCCAAAAGAGTAGGGCATATGAAAACAGATCAGAGATATCAGGTTTGGGCAAACGTGTTTACCCGCTTATCAATGATGAGCCAATATTAGGGTAATAAGTGTCGTTTAGATAACTAGAGCAGGAAACATGCACTAATAAGTGTAGGGCTTACCTATCGGTTTGTGCAGTATTGTACAGATTTAACCCTAATAGTGACAAAGTTAATCTTCACCGAGTCTGTAAACAAGCATAAGCAATAAAATTGTGTGAACTGCCTCAGAGCCCAATACTGCTTCTTTTGCATTAATTGGGATAACTAGAATATCTAGAAGACTTCAGATACCCTTTTCTGTCCCCACCTTCAAACCCTGAATGCATTGGGAGAGAGTAGGACAAATCTGCTAGTGATCTTCTGGATGACTTGTTGTGGTATGGACAAAACCTTGTCTCTAGCAGGCTGGACCTGAATTCAACAGCAAGGTTCTTGCATTCTGTACTATGGTGTGGCAGATAGAAATATTGGACTTTTAATTGATTAAACATGAAAATATCAATCTGTACAGAAATGTAGCCTCAAAATAACAGAGGGACTAATTTAATGCATTCCTCGCATCTTTAGTTTTCCTGCTGATTTCTGTATTGACAACGCATAGTTGAATTGCAGAAGTTTGTTAGGATGGAGTTGCAGGTTTTGGCAAGTGGGTGGGGGAACGTTGAGGCTTCTGGCACACAGGCAGGCATAGGAGGGTGTTTGAGATTGTCGGATAAGTACATTAGCTTGTTGTTTCTGATTAAAATGACCAGCAGTGAATTATGGAGTATAGTTGTAGCCATGTCTGTCATAGTGTATTAGTTAATATTGCATCTGAAGAAGTGAGGTTCTTACCCACGAAAGCTTATGCTCTCAATACTTCTGTTAGTCTTAAAGGTGCCACAGGACCCTCTGTTGCTTTTTAGTTAATATTGACACTTACTTAATTTTCAGACCTAACTCATTAAAATGAAGGGAACAATTAACATTCAGAGCTATTTCACAGTGTCTGCAGACTCAGGCAGGCCTCATTATATAAGTTTATGCTTGGTTCACATTTTCAAGGTTTTCATTGCAGCTCTAAGAGCTAAACATTTTTAAAATGTGAGCTTAATTTCTAGAGCAGGGGTGGGAAAACTTTGTGGCCTGGGGGCCACATCTGGGTATGGAAATGGTATGAAATTGGGGGTTGGGGTGCAGGAGGACTCCAGTTGGGGGTGTGGGCTCTGGGGTGTGGCTGGGGATGAGGGGTTGGGGGTGCAGGAGGGTCTCCAGGCTGGGTCCGAGGGGTTCAGAGCATGGGAGGGGGATCAAGGCTGGAGCAGGCACTTACCTCCAGCGGCTCCTAGAAGCAGCAGCATGTCCCCCCTCTGACTCCTCTGTGGAGGTGTGGCAGGTGGCTCTGCGTGCTGCCCTGTCTGCAAGCACCAGCCCTGTAGCTCCCATTGGCTGTGGTTCCCGGCCAATGGGAGCTGAGGGGGTGGGGCTTGGGGCGGGGGCACTGTGCGAAGCCCCGTCTGCCCCTACGCATAGGAGCCAGAGGGGGGTACATGCTGCTGCTTCCGGGAGCCGTGTGGAGTGGGGCAAGACCCCGACCCTGCTCCCTGGCTGGAGTGCCGGAGTCGGGAAAGCCCCTGACACCGGTTCCTGGCTGGAGCTCGAGGGCCTGATTAAAATATCTGGAGGGCCGGATGTGGCCCCTGGGTGGGCAAACTACGGCCCCTGTTCTAGAGCAGTGGTTCTCAACCAGGGGTACACATACCCCTGTGGATGCGCAGAGGTCTTCCATGGGGTACATCAACTCATCTAGATATTTGCCTACTTTTACAACAGGCTACATATAAAGCACTAATGAAGTCAGTGCAAACTAAAATTTTATACAGACAATGACTTGTTTATACTGCTCTACATACTATACACTGAATTGTAAGTACAATATTTATATTCTGATTGATTTATTTTATAATTATATGGTAAACATGAGAAAGTCAGCAATTTTTCAGTTATAGAGTGCTGTGACACTTTTGTATTTTTATGTCTGATTTTGTAAGTGAGGTGTAACAGAGGTATGCAAGACCAATCAGACTTCTGAGAAGGGTACAGTAGTCTGGAAAGGTTGAGTCTCTTTTCTAGAGCATGGTTCTGTGGTAATGGATGAATTTCAAAGCAAATTCTGTAACTGTGAAATCATGTAATAAATTGCGTCCTGGATATAGATGTAATTTTAAAAAACTAATTCAATACTGATGAAGCTACAGAGAAGAATGTCAGAAATTAAAGGTAATGTGCTTTTTAACAGGCTTACCTTTGCCTAATGAGCAGGAAGAACTAATGATGGAGGAAGAGATCTGAGACATCCAATGTAGAGGTCCCCTGTAACGAAAAATGATGCTGAAAAATCAGTTAACCCCTTCAGTGCTAACATACATAGGGCACACAAAACCCCATCCCCTACCTCACTTCCCCCACACACATACACAACCAAAACTATATTCTGTCTTGATGTACCTGGTATATCACTGAAGTCTTGTTGTGATGTTCCAGTGGAATGTCTGCACTTCAGGAAGTGCTCCCTTGTTCTGCTGAAATGGCCAGAAAGGTGTTAAGATGTGTGTAAAGGCCATAGGGAGCTAAAATAGCAGCTGATGCCATATTCTGTGTATACAGTTTTCATCACTATGGATCTGAGTGCCGAATACAAAATGAAATATGCAATTATGTAAAACTGCCAATGGCTCAGAGTGCAGCCACTTCCAAAAAATGGCAAAGAAAAAAATAACCACGGAAGGACAGACAAAATCATTTAATTGTCCTGAACAGAAAAATCTTATATTGAGCCCTGAAGCTACTGGTGGCAATGTTCAGGGAGGATGTTGTCATTGTTTCACGGGGATCCTGAACCAAGCAGCACAAGTCCCTCTCCTGCGCCTCATGGGACCTCAGAACAGCCCATCCAGACAAAACAGCTGTGTAAAAACTTCTGGAAATATGGTATGTTGAGAAACTCTGCTTTTATATTGTACAGTGTAGGGCTTGTTCTCCTTTTGGAGGAAAATAGGTTCAAGAGTTCTCAGTTTACCATTGCTTTCTATTCCCCACTTGCATGTAATTGTCTCACATTGGTGGGGTTAAACAGTAGGTGCGGATGAATTATTATAAAAAGACTCCTTATTTGACATGTAAACGTTAAAAGTAGAGAAATGCAAATGTTACCTTGTGTGTAAATTTTTTGTATAAGGAGCCAAAAGCTGAAAAGAGGGACAGAGGTGGGTATTTTTAGGGCTTTATTTGTGCATCATATAATACATAGTGTTTTAGAATCCTAGAATATTCGGGTTGGAAGAGACCTCAGGAGGTCATCTAGTCCAATCCGCTGCTCAAAGCAGGACCAACGTATGTGTGTGCACGTGCACACAAACTTCCTCCATTGTCTCTCTGCTCCCTGTAACCAAGTCCCCTGAGCAAAATCAGAAAAC